GCGGAAATCTTGACTACAGTTAAGACAGTTTATTAACTCCTCAATGATACAAAATAAGCCAAAATAAAAGAGCATTATTATTTTATTAAATATTTTAGCTAACAAAATTTAAACATTCAACTGACATTTCTACAAAGCCCATCAGAAAAAATGTTGCTTGTCAAATTTCTTATTGCCTAGTAGGGCTAAAATCCAAAGGTATGACACATGCGAAAACTTGCAACTTTTCAAGCATCATACCATGCACTATGGAACTTAGCGACATATTATTACTTTGTTGGCAGATTACTTTCCTTTTTGATATTTTACACAGTATGACCACTAGAAAATAATATGGTCACACTCCTGGAACCCCCTACTCTTAAGCAGCCCTACTGAAACTGATATATTCAAGAAATCTCCTTCTTTTCGCCCAAGGGCTTCTAATGGTATGGTAAGTATCACTGAAGCCATGGGGGTATCTACTTCACACAAAAAGAGTACTGCACAAAGCAGAATCCATACTTGAAGATACCTACATATGTGAATGGGCTTTTAATCCTAAACGCTATAAAAGCGAAGACTAAAATTCCACTGAATTTGGAGTACACTGAAAATAACACTTTAAGTAAACTGCTGTTCGCTTTTTAGGTCCCAAAAGTAGTAAAGCCAAAATAGAAACCAGAAAAATGGTCTGTGGCCCTATGATTTATTTTGACAACAACCCTATTTACATGACCGGAAAATTATGTGCAGCATTTTAATGTTCAGAAAAGAAAACTGATGAATACCATACCAGTAATAATTTAGAGAACTAAGTAACATCACTCATACTGATATGGAATTAATTATTGTTAAAGGTCCGTTTGGTTTTTGTTCTTAAAGTACAAACGTACATATAAGATAGATATGTACCAGTGACATTGCTGGGCACTGTTCAAATGCCAAAGACAGTTTTATTCATTATAGAGCAACAAACTCCAAAAATGTACACCAGGCAAGAGCTGCAGCAGTTTTGTCTCTGTGACTGTGTGTATTTTTAAAAGACGTGTCACCTTTGCTTTTTGCATTTCTATGTTATTTATTTACTAATAGGTATGTGCCTAAAAATGTAACATCTGAAGTGGCCTTCATGGTGTCTCAAGCCACTATCCCATACATATGTAATACAGTAATGATTTAGCCTGACTTATAGATCTTGGGTACAGATTACTGCATAATGACTATTATGAAATTGTTTCGGCACTTAGAAGAGATGCCACATAAATGCTATGTATTAACATGTGGAAAACAATAATCTGGATTGATATTTCCAAAATTACGTTCGTTAACATTTATCCTATAATCATATATGCAAGCACAGCACAAACAGGATGAGGCCCAACTAATCTATGTTCTAGAAAGGAGAGACAGTTTTGACCTATGTAACAACATAACTCAACACAGAATGAGATATAAACTAGGGAAAGATTGGCATGTCCTTTTTCAGAATGATTTATGAAAAAAAATCAACATTAGATACAATACCATCAGTAGTTAAGCGAATGCAGAAACACCTAGGACATCCATGTAAATTATTCTGTGTAAATATGCAGCTATGCATAATGACTCTAAATTGTTAGCTGCTCTGTAAATAACTAGAGAGCTTTAAAACTATACAAGTTATGGTTAATCTGAATGGAAGGTGGGGTACTATGAGTGCACATGGGACTATACATGTACAGATGAGACACTGATAAATTGTCATTCCTAAGAAGCACAACCTGAACTGTAGCTGGAATAGTTTTTCAGCCGGTCTGGTTCAGCCAGGACATGGTAGTAATTACATTCCACCCTCTACAGCTAATATCTTAGTGAAATAAAAATATATGAGGGTGTTAAAAATTCAAATGCTAATTATGGACTGCTACATACTGTGCTATATATAGTAAACATAACTAAACTTGCATTTTTTCACTAGCAAGCAGAATCCAATTTGATCCATAAAGTTCTTGGTCAACTTATATACTACAGCAAAGGTGAGTTAACAAATTAAATTCAATATATGCATTTATTGCCATCAGCTATGGCAGAGTTGTATGGCTTTTCTAGTTAAGCTATTGCTTTTGCAGACACCAAGGCTTTTCTTCTACCCAATTAAGTTAGATAAATATCACAGCAGTAGAATGCCATAAAGAAAATACATAATATTTCAGTTATCAAGAGTCCTATTGTAAATATTAGCTACTCTCACATTTCTTCAGTTACTTTGCTTCAGCTAAAAGCTTAGTAAAAAATCTAAAACTGTGAGCCATATTAGTACGTAATATACTTCTACCACCATTGCTGACACTGAGTAAACCTGGACCCATAAACATACACAAGTACACTGAACAGAGGTATAGGGACTTGGGGATGCCACGTATCTGTCACAAACTGTCAGCTCCACAAGAGAAGTCCTGGCACAGAACAAATTAAACTACACTTCTTTTAAAAGCTGTCATTAATTCAAAGCCAATCAGTTGAAATATTCTCAGAATTTCAAATGCAAATAAAATGATGGGAAGGACCCACGGATCCAAACTGTGGACCACAAGATAAAACAATATGCTGTCTGTGTCCTGAAGTGGTTCATCGCCACCCTGCACCAACTTTCACCAAATGAGATTTTGCTTAGAGCTATATTTTAAATATGCATATCAAAGCAAGTGAGGTAGCAAAAACTTGAGTATCACAACTGAAGAACTTTTCATGTTTAACTATTGTAATTGCCAGGAAGACATTCACAGATTAATCATTTCATTTTAGTCTTTTAATCTGGATACTAAAATTGCAAAAAGGCATCATTAGTACTTATTACTACTACTAAATTATTATAATATAGAGACTAACTAAAGTGAACGACTGATATCTATAACATATCCATAGGTATCCTCTGTCTATATATAATGATATATATCATTCACATCTGCATCTCTAAATTTAAAGTTCTATGTCGGATGTGGATGTTAACACACATGTCTAATAAGACACAATTCCCCAAATGCAACTATGTGATACAACTCTTCATTTCCCAGTTGGTGTTCTTGCTGCACAAATTATTACTTCCTTTCAAAACAAATAGCAGGGGGCCAAAGTAAAAATGTTATAGCTCATACATCCAGGAACTAAAAGCCTTTAAATTATATGAAGTGGTAAACCCTAACAGGTGTAAATGTATATTGTCACATTTCCTTCAGTTTCAGGGCTAAAAGAGACAAGAAAAGGTTTTTCATGAAGATAGTTATAACACTACACAGTGCTAGCCCTCAGAAGCCTGGTACTTTTCGCCATGCATAAATTTAAATATTATAATAGAGCACTTCAAATTGACTCAAACATTCACTATTTGCTGGAGCCCTAAACAGGCTAGTTTATCTAATCTCAATGTAAACATCAGCATGCTCCATTTCTGCACTTCTACATGAAGCAAACTCTTATAATGAAACTGTTCTGTGAACTCAAACATGTTTTCCTTCTTCAATATTTTATGTAGTGCATGCTGACCTTGCAGGATGCCTGTCTTTTCAGATTCTTTTTGAATGGTCCTATAAACTCATATGCACACTAATATAAAGTTTTGAAGTGCTTCTTAGAAATATTTTTGAAACTATTGTCATGCTCCACCGACCTTATTAATTCAAATGGCATATAAACAATATGAAAACTTTTTGCATCTTCAGCTTACTTTTTTAACTGTAAAGGAATATTTATAAAATATGAAATGTAAGTCTCCAATGACTTCAAAAGTAGTGGAGGGTAACTTTAAAAAACAATGTGTATGTCTCATTCTTTACTTTTTAAAAAGAAAATGAAAGTTATATAACTTATATGGACCAAATTAGATATTTTTTATTTTTACAGCTGCTGTTGCTGCTTAGTATAGTCTTATGAATACCTGTAACACACAATACAGGCAAATATTGATCAACTTGAGAACCTATTTTCAAAAACCCAGAATAAAGCAAACCCACAGGAAACTAACTCTTCATCTTTAGATCTGTTTCTCAGAGCATAAAAGACAATGTATATAATAAAAATCTCTGTATCCCTCATTTTAAACCATATTCCTTCTATGATCATTCTTATTATTTGTCATTTGTTCTATGAGTTCAAAACAAAATCTTTGAAAACTTTCCTGGCCCACACATTCTTGCAAATAAGCCATTGTTCACACTTGTTCACACTTAAACATAACTATTTCTTCTCCAAACACACACACACACAGTACTTCTTCTTCCCTTAGTTAAGTAACTTATCAGTATGCAACATTTTCATAACTTTTTCTCTGAAGCGTACTAGCAGCAACTCTTATAGAAATGCCACTCCCAGTTATAGTTTTACTTGTGTACATTCAACAAAAACAACTTGTTTAACAACTGAAGTGTTAGAACCAACTACTAACCTATAGTTACTCAATCATAATTCTGTACAGCTTCTGTAATACACTGTTAATAATTGGCTCATCAAGGATACTGCAATTTATTATGAAGATGCTTCAGGCACTTGGCAATAAGTCCATATTCTAACAATAATTTCCACCAGAGAAAAAACACTGGAAACTATAACTTCCTTTTAATGCAATGTACAATTGCCAGTAATTCCTAGGACTTGCCATCTAGAGAGGGAAGGGAGAAATCAACAAACTTTTTATTAAACCGAATCACTTCTATTTTCCTACTCTCTCTGTAACATTGATCACAGACATTTCAAAGCAGAAAATGCTGCCTATGCCTATTGGACAATTTGCCAACTCTTCCATTTGCCCAAATCATTAACTGTGCAATCCGTAAGTTTACATTCTCAATAACTGAATGCAAAGAAAAAGTCTCCCTCCATCCAAAAATATCTTGCAGCAAAAATGTATTTAAAATATCATACTAGTCATTATTTAAAGGGGATAATTACAAAATGGGGCTAGTGCTAGGGCAATTCTTAAACTGCAACAATACAAGGATCTACTAAATGTCTGAAAAACTTCACAGATTAGCAAAAGGACTTACATGGTCAGCTAAATTTGTGGATGATCCTGAGAGTTCTTCATGGTCAGATTTGGAGCTGCCATCTCTTTCATCAATAACTAGATCTATGGGCATTTTGCCTTTCAAACAACTAATGTACCGGTGGCAGAAATTATCACACAACTCATGAACCTGGATATAATGTTCAAATAAAAGGAAAGAAAAAAAGAAAATTATGGAAAAAAGAGGAGAGAGACAAAAATATCAGATTGCAACTTGAGAAGGATTTTCCCAGTTGCAGAAGAAATACTGTGATCTATTCCAAGAGTAACTCTAATTAAGGGGCATAATAGTTGAAGGCAAGGAAACAATAGAGAAATTGTTACAGCACATATTATTCCCCAGAGACTTGCCTGAGCAACAAGTTAGAAAGAGAAGGGGGGGGCGGGGGGGGGAGAGATACTGAGCTTGAGCCTGCTCCATAGATAGAAGAAAATCCGATTTGGGGATAATACAAAAAGCAGTAAAATCTGGACCAAGGTAAATAAAATCTAGGAGCACAGGCAGTTCAGTCAGGAACACTGAAGGAAAGTATTGGGACAGAACAGGGTGCATTTCAAATCCTCTAAGAAAGTAGAAGAGATTTTAAACACAGAATTATTTCCTTGTAGTAGGTACCTCAACCGTTCCATAAGAACTTCCAATCTTTCCATAACCTTAATGTTTTGCTCAGAGATAATAAAATCACCAGGACTCTACTGACTGAGAAAATACTTAATTTAAAATATTACCACCCAGTTCAAGAAGACTAGGAGAAGGTTGGAAGACAGATAAGGGGAGAGATCCAATCGACTGGAAAAGGGGAACCTGTTTGACGAAAGACTAGAAATAATGCAGAAGTTCCAAAAAGGGAGTTGGGTGAAGCGAGAGGGAGGGCAGAGTATCACCGGGTGTTTTATACTGCTAGTTACAGTGTCCAGCTGAGCTTCCCCAAAAGGTTTATGAGGGAGGGAAGAGAGAATGAAGAGAAGAGGGAGTTCCCCCTTGCTCTTACCTTTTCTAATTCCAAAAGGTGAAACCTTAAGACTTGTATTGCTTGTATCATCTGGAAAAAAAATAGGAGCAAAGGAGTTGTCATTTGGAAGAGGGAAAAAAATAAGGCAGGGCGCGGTGCATTGTCAGGGCGCACCCTCATTATCCAGGATTTTAGCTCATTGGACACGCTTGGGTAATTTTGATCATCAACTTTAACCTAAAGCACTTGATTTAAAAATCTCTCAATCTCTCTCTCTCTCTCTCTCTCACTCTCACTCTCACACATACTCACACTCACACACACACAAAAGGAAACAACACTAAGTGTTTTACAGAGATGTTCTCTCCCAGTGGTTTATGAAAGTCTGCAAAGCAACCAAACAACTAAACATCCATTCTTCACTCAAGCCGTTTTTTTAAAAGAAGAAAAGGAAGTGAAATGCTCCAGATCAAAGGTTTGCCTTCACCTCTTTTTCAAGAGGATTTCTAACACTTTTAGTATTGAAATCGGCCACATTAGCAAAAGAATTGCACTGGGCAGCTCCAAACGGACTCCCTTCTGAAGCCCCGATTTCCTCCCCTTTTGCTTCCAGGGGCTTAAACCCAGCTTTGCAATGCACTAGGGACTCAAGTGTTTCTTGTCCTTTTCCATGTTAAGAACTGGAGTTCTTTGAAGCCCCTGAATAAGGACAATTTCTTCTTTCCAGAGTTCCTGAGTGTCACTGTCTATAAGCGGCTCCCTTCCCTCCCCCCTTACAATTATACCTTTTTTTCAGAGACAGCAATCAAGTGATGTCTCCCAGAGAAACAGCTGAAAGTCAAAATGAGGTGTGTATTTGTGCATGTGGTGCGGTGGGAAGGAAAGAACCTTACCAAATTGTCCAACTCTGGGTTTGAAGAAAAAAGTGGCTTTTCTGCTCGCACCTACATGAAGAAGTAGGGGAAGGAATGGAATCAGTGCATATTTCAGCTGACTTTAAAGCCCTATTTGACCCCCACCCCACCCCGGCAATCCAAATTGAATGACAAACAGAAATAATGTGAACTGGGTGCAAGTCACTTTTAAATGTGACTGCACTGCCCTCGAATTGTGGGGCAAGCTGCGAACGTCAGGCCACTCATCCCTCTTCTGTCCCACACAACCCGCTCACCTCCCTCCTTTCCGCTGAGGGCTGAGGAAGGGCTGAAAAGCTTTCTAGAATGTAGCACCTCTAACAATACGCGCTTTCCAGTTCACCAGGAGTGGCCAAGGAATGCCTCCCAGTGTCCACTGCAGGGAGAGGGAAAGAAGGCGAGGAAGGGAGAAGTTGGTGGGAAATCCACGCTGTGGCCGGCTTGGCGAGCCCATTTCCCAGGCCCGGCGGGGTGAGCCCGAGCGCTCTCCCGCCTCTCCTCGCCTGGCAGGGAAACCGGCAAGTGGCCTGGGTGGGAGGTGGCGGGGAGGGAGGCCTGCTGAGCCGCTTGCACGAGGCCGGCGGGGTGGGCAAGGCGGGTGAAAAAGCGGTCGACCTGTTTGGCGAAGACGGCGATGTCCTCGTTGAAGGAGTCTGAGGAGCAGACATCTCCGCCGGCCACCCCAGGCTCTCGGGGAGTGCAGGTCGCCAGCTCGCACTTCTCAAAGACCAAAGCTAACAGGGGGAACAGCGGGTGCCTGCCGGGCAGTGACACACAAAGAAAGGGAAGGGGGATGCGGGGGGAAGTTAGGAGAAGAGGGGAGGGAAAAAACTCTGATCAACAAGTATTTTTTGCCTGTCAAAAACAAGAGCAGCAGCAAAACAGATCCACGTTCACGCGGCCTTGCACGCAGCAGCCTTTCCACAGACGACGAGGAGGAGGAAGATGACCGGGGAGGGGAGAAGAGCAGCGCTGGGAAGCGAGGCCCGGGGGAGAAGGACACCACCGCTGCACGCACACACCTCCCCTCCCAGGAACCAGAACCGAGTCGCACGCTTGCCTCGCAGACCCAGAAGCCAGCCCGAGTATGGCCAAGCAGGCTCCAGCTGCTAAGTTCCCGGAGCGCTGGAGATCACTGGAAAGTAGAGCACCAGACCCTGCCCCCCAGTGCAACCTAAAAAGGAGGGCTCTACTCTTACACAAAGTGCCCAAATTGCTTAATATTTTGGCGAAAGCTAGCAGCAGCCAGAATATATATACATACACATGGTAGAAAAAAGGGAGGGAGGGGATGGCATGCCAGTAAAGTTTCTCAAGGATGAAGAAGCGCAATCAGATAAAATATTAACTGTCCAGTCATAAATAAGCTGGAGAAAGAGATGTTTTCAGTAATAATTTCCCCCTATAGTCTGAGCTGGCCATGGGGTAGAAGAGGAGAAAGGATGGCATGTGTGTTCGAGCAGGAAATGTGCCTTTCTCTGCTTTCCTCCTCCATCGTGGCTAGAAGGGTGAGGACACCAAGGACTATCAGATCGTGCTTTAGAGGAATGAAATAATCACCAAAACAAAATGTACTGAAGGAGCTGCATGCTTCCAACTACAGTGCTCGGATTTGGTTCCTTGGGGATGTCAGCAGCTCCTCACTCTTGTCCCCAATTTTTATTTGTTCATTCCAAATGGGGTCTTTTTCCATGAGGAATCCGGTATCATTTTATCTGTGAACAACTCTGCATTTACAGATTGGCATATGAAATAATAAGCCAATAATGCCCGTTACTAGAAGTTACTTCTGTGTAAATGTAAACTAGGCTTACTCCCCGATTCTAAAGAATTGGAAGTGGGCAATTTCAAATAAATTTACTTTTAAATAAGTATGCCTATGATTGGTGGGCCTGAAGTCTAGGGCGGCGCGGCAACACTGCTTTAACTAAAATGGAATGCAGTTCTAGTTTACCCCTTATGTCACCATTCATGTCCATCCAAAATAGGAGTATCCTCCGTGGATTTCTCCACTGTACTTTTCCACGGAGGTATCCATGGCATTCCTGCTAAATCAACTGCGAATACTCTTAGCATTAAACGGAGGAGAAGAAAAGGAGCATAGAAGTATGGAATGAGAAAGCACATGTGTCCTTCAGACCACGAATCTGAGGACCTAAGGCAGGGGACTGCTCAAAAACACCGTCCACCATCGACTGCCTCTCCTGCCTCCGTGTGCAAGCGGCGCTGCCCCGACGAACTCTGTCCTGCACTCGTTCCTGCTCCCGCACGGAAACGCACATACCCTGCGAGGGACGGGCCTTGGCGGCTCCTGGCTGGCCCTGCCGTGTACCTACCCGTAGATCGCATCCTTGTCCCGCTTCAGGGCGTCGTTGACAGCCGATCCCATGCTGGCGGGCATGACATTGGGGTGCGGGGCGTGCGCTCCGTAATGCTGGCTGGCATGGAGTGGCGGCCCATGGTTCAAGTGGTGGACTGGGGGGATCGGCCTGGGCGCGTGAGGGTCTCCGTACATGGAAGCAGGTACCCCTACTCCGTCCATCCCGCCGTAATGAGGCAGCTCATCGTACTGTCAAAAAGAAAATGGGCCAGAAGAGGAGGAAGGAGAAGAACCAGGGGAGAGAGAGAAAGAGCGAAAGAGAAAGAGCGGAGAGACAGAGAGAGAGAGAGAATAAAATAAAATAATAGAAAACACAACAACAACAAAAGTCAGAAGAGAGTAAAGCATCAGACAAGTCAGACAAAACAGAGCAAAACTACAAACCGGGACCAGCCACAACAGAGAAAAGCTATACAAACTAAACCAAAATAAGAAGTGCAGTCTACGGAGCTGGGGGAAGGGCGTGGAGCGTGGATGTGTGTGTGTGAGAGAGAGCGCTGATCCATCGAGGGCAAAATAAAGAAGGAAACTGGAAGTTTGGAAAGGGAGAAGCTACACGAGTCCTCAGAATCGAAAGAGCCGGGGCACAGATCGGCGAACGACCCACAAGTAAACAGATTAATCCTGCGGGGTGGGAAGCGAGGGCTGTGAAGGGAAAGGAGAGCGCGAGAGGCGGATGGGGGGGGAGGGAAGCAAATAATCGGAAAGTTACCAGAAACATTATTTAGTGGCAATTCCCCCTTGTCCTTGTCAAAACCAGAGACAAACCAAGCAGCAAATGTAGCTGTATTTCCCAGGCAGCGGCGGCGGCGGCGGCGGCGGCAGCAACAGCTACAGCGGCGGCGGCGGCGGCGGCGGCAGGCGAGCCTTCCCCCCCTGCGAACCCCGCGCCAGCGAGCAGCTAGAGAGGAGCAGGGAAATCGCGCTGTTGGGGGAAAAGCTAGAGAGGGAAGAAGCATGGAACAATTGCAGACAGAGAGACACACACGCGCGCGCATGCACGCACATACATACACAGAGGGAGAGAGACCCACACACGCACGCACGCACACACACACACACACACGCGCGAACACACGCGCACACAGACAACTGGTGAATAATTTTTCCTGCTATTTGTTTTGCTCTTTTAAAATAGTGGCCGCCATGAGCAGCAGCGACGGAGGAGAGCAAATCCGACAGGGCCCTCTTAAGAGAGGATTTATACGTAAGGTAAGTGTTGGAGATTTAAACCTACCCTTTGCGCCATCAGTCTGCGCTCCAATAAACTCCTGGATGTGTCCTATATTTAATATCCCAGTCCAGCAACAACAACAACAACAACAACAAAGTGATTGAGTGAAGAAGAAGAATCCCTTTTCCCCCGGTCTTTCCGACCCACTTATAGACTTCTCCAATACGCGTAAATATTCATAAAAGTAATAGCAATCACAATAAAAAGTAGGCAAAAATAACCACGTCGAGTTTGTGATATTTCTTCTTTTTTCCGCGTTCTCTTCTCTATTTCCCTTTTCTGCGTCTCTTTCCTTTTTTTCTTCGTTTACATAAAAATAATAATAATAGTAATAATTAAGAAAAAATCGTCAAGCCCCCAAACTGAAGGTTACGATCGGCCCGTCAGCAACCCACATGTAACCAAACTGTCGTGTCTCATGGCTTTTTGCCACTCCAGCTGTCAATCAAAGCCATGGAATGTCAAGGTAGTGAATGAATGATGGCTGATGATGATGAAGAAGAAAAGAGGAATCTTTTTAACCTCGGTTTCTTCTCTCAGTAACTCCGCGTTTGGGGTTTGCCTTGTAGGAAAGCTATAGGTTCTTTTTTTTTAACTACCGGGAGGGGGAGGGTGGGGTAGGATGCGAAGAAAAATGGAATAGTTTGCAAAACGTGGACTTCCTCCGTTCTTTTTTTCCCCACCCCCGGTAGGTATTTTGTCTCCCTCTTCACCTCTCCCTCTGAGATGAGTGAGTGTCAGTAAGTGTTGGCAGGTTGGCTGCTGGCTGGCTTATAGAAGAGGCTCAGTTTTGCAGCGCTGATCGGCGGGAGAATGAAATGACGGAACCCGGAAGTAGTGGTGGCCATAGCCAGTCGTACAACAGAGACATACAAGGGAGAGGGAGAGGAGGGGAGAGAGAGCACAGAGCGAGCGAGCGAGCGAGCGAGCGCTTAAAGCCTGTGATATGCAGAGTATGCAATCAGGGCTGCTTCCACGCCACCAGGGGTAGGGTGGGGGGGAAGCCGCGCCGCGAATTCATACCCATAGCAAATCAACGTGCCTTTCAGTTAGGAAAGGGAGAGTGTGGGATAAAGAGGGAAGCTCAGGAGGAGGAAGAAAGGGAGGCAGGCAGCCTGCGTGCGTGCGGGGAAACTGCAAAAAGCCAGAAAAGAAAAGTGCCATAGAAGCCTCGATCTGGTTTGCTTTTTTATTAGATTATTTTACCCTTCAACATCCTTTGCTGCCTAACCGCATTCTTTAGCCCGCGCTTCGCGTTGTTTTTCTCTTCTGAGATTACTTTTAGCACTGCAGCGTTTCAGTGGCCAGAATGCATGTCGAAGGAACTCAGGCAGTTGCAAATGTTTTAAAGAGGAGCATGCAAAGTTGATCTGCCAGCGGAAACTAGCCTGGCTTAACAAAGTCCGCCGTCCTTGCCAGAACCTTGCATTCAGAGCTGTGTGTGCGTGTGTTTCCTTTTCTGTGTAAATTCACCACCTTTTTGTTGTTATTGTTCAAGTGAATTTTCCAGGAGGAGACCAATCCCATTTGGCATCGTTCTTCATTAAGTGTTCGGTTCTATCCACGTTGTATGATGTCTGAGGAGGGGCTGGGGGACGGATTAAAAAAAAGAGAGAGGAAATCCTTTCAGGTTGTGCTTTGATGCTGCCTGGAGACTGGAAGGCAACGTCAATATCACTTCTTTTCTAACCTAAGACTGGATGTAAGTTCTGAATCCACTGTGTAAAAAGTGCTAGTCTCTTCTGCTGGTGCTGCCCTGCTATTCTCATCTTGCACGCTTTTCCTGTGTTCTGTGGGACCTGTGCATTTCCAGGTAATGCCTTTTTATGGCTGTGTTAATTACTGCAAAGTTATTCAGCAAATCAAGCGGGATGGTGCCCCCTTGTACCGCTTCCAAAGACCAAATGAACTTTTGAAAGTAGTTTGTTCCCCCCTTTCTCTCTCTCACACACATTCACAAACGCTGCCTACCATGTTAATTTGTGTGTGTGAGAGAGAGGGAGGGAGAGAATAGCTTCCTCCAATCGCTTTGCAGGAACTAAAACATGCCTTACCTCAGAGCAGTCAATTACCAAAGCTACCCGAGATCATCAATCATGGGGAATGCTTGAAGTTTAGGGGAGGAGCAATGGTCAAACTATTGATTGCTGCAGTTTTGTGCTCCCCACCCCCCCTCCTTTCTCTCGTTCATGCTCCCCACACATAAAATCTAAACCAGACGATCCTGTTAATAGTAGGATTTATCAATGATTATGTATCTACTTGTGAATGGCCTCCTACATGCTTGGCATATTTATTTATTTATTTATTTGAATAGCACTGTTTAAACTGGAGTCCGGAGAGAGGGAGAGTTGCAGGGGGGATACTGTTCTTACTGGCAGGGTCCCTATCAGAAGGAAACTTGGGGTTGAAAGGCACAATCACTGGGGGGGGGGCGGTTCTCGAAATTTGGCCAGTTTTTAATGGGCAAAGGGAACGTGCCCCAGAGGTCAATAAAGCCCTCCAAAATGATGAATGATTGAGTACCTGTGATGATGATAGTGATTACCGGAGCAATTAAACAGTTTGATTAAATGAGCCATCATAACAATGATGTCTGCGGGAAATCAGCCCTCACATATAAAGAAAGATAGCTGGAGAGAGCTTGACAAACGCCACTGGGCATTCCTCGCTTTTCGAGAGTGCTCAGCCTGGCAAGGAAGGAGCGGGGAGCGCGCAGTTCACGGGCAGCCAGGCGAGGGGCAGAAAAGTGTCGCCGAGACTTTAAGCCGGACTTGCGCGCTCTGTTTAAATACCATCTGAAGCCGAAGAGCCAAAGCCAGACCGAGGGTGCTGCTTTTTCTTCTCTCTCCCCCCTCCCACCCCCTTCCTTCCCTTCCCTTCCCCCTTCCTTCCCTCTAGAGGACCTCTTCCAAGATTAAAGCCATTCTTAAGAGCAACCGCTATCCTCTGTGGCTGACTGGCCCAGGACTATACAGAAAGGTGAGTAAAACCGCCCTCAGTATGTCGATCTCTTTCAAGCAGTGCTTAAGTCGGTTCCTTTGGCAAAGGACGTCTTGGAAATGGGGAGGGGGGGCGGTTTTGTTGTGCAGTATTTTCTACTCTGTCGTATAAATCGGTAACGCAGTTCAAGATATTCATGGTAATGAATACTTGGTTAATCCTTTGGGTGCCCGGAGACCTACAGAGCAGTAGGTTATGCAAATCCTTTCCTACTTTTGCAGCTGGACTCTTCCAACAGATTGCTTTAAAAGAGATCTACTCTTCGATGAATGGTGCTTACTGAGGCTTTCCACCCCCCTTCTTCCGAAAATGTCACTTTCCTAAATTCCCTGGGAATCGCTTTGTTGTAATACAGCCAACACAATCCCGCCTTCTAAGACACATTTTAAACTTGTTTTCTAGTAAGAGCAGCAAGAATCTGCCCTGCAGGGGATAGATATGCCTCGGTTCAGAGAGGGTTAGGAGGAAATGCGGGCGGGGGGGGGGGGGGGGGGGGGGGAAGGGGGGGGGGGGGGGGGGGTGGAGGCTGGCGAATAGTTTCTAAATAGTAATAATCTAGTTCCATGAAAGGCTTTCATGTATTTCATCAGGTTGGTGTGTATTTGAAAGAAAGTTTGGGTATCTGCTTTTTGCTCTAGACACTTGATTCCCATTTAACTGAATATCTATAATGCTAATTATCACAACACTTTTCAAATAAATATTTCAAAGAGAACTCAGTGTTGGACTGAAAATACCAAATGCCCTTCTAAAATATCTGAAAATTAAATGGGGGGGTATATTTGCAGTCTCAGTGATGCTGCTTTCATTTCTGATTCTCCTTTCCTTTTTATATTAAGCATTCTTACTCTTATTGAAATAACAGCAGGGGATTGAAATTCCCCTGGAGTATTGGAGTTACCTGGGCAGATGATGATACTTCAGTTTCATATATTCTTAGCTTGGTAAAACACTTTAAAAAGTGCTTCCCTTATGAAGGTGAAACATACTTTCCGGGGATAGTTGAAAATACTAGCAGTCCGGTTTAAAGCCTGCAAATAAATCTTTGGTTATCCTTTCAAAATATTAGGTGCCAGCAGAATTGTGAACCCAAGTGAGTAATGGACAGCAGTGGTTACATTTGGACATGCTCTTTGCTGGACCAGTAGATTGTTCTTCAAATGAAAAAAAGCTTTGTGCAGTCCTCATCGAGTCTGCTCTGGAGTAAGGCCCTCTGATTTTCATCATGTAAGTGTTCTGAGGATGCTAGCATAAACGGTGGGCTTAAATGACATGATTTTCCACATTCCTGGTCCCATCAAAGCCTTGCTCTATTGCAAAGTGTAAGCAGAAGAGAAGCGTCTCTGGATTTTCTTTTTCTAGAGCCCACCACAGTCCAAAAAGAAATTAGGTGTCCAGTGCAGAAATGCATCTCCGTCAACAGTCAGTTTCTCTCCCTCCCTCCGCCCCCCGTTTTTTTGGCCGAGGCTGGAAATGGTTTTAACAGGCGGTAAAATTTCATCTTGTGGTGTCAAATTGGGGTCAGTTGGGGGTTAGGGTTCTCAGTGTCCACGAAGGAGCTGTCCAGCTGTGTGGGGATTCATTAAGGGCAAAAGATCCGTTTCAAGAAAAACAATACAGAGACAATCAGTGGGCTAAAGATCCTCTCCAAATCGCATTTTACAAGTGCGCCAGAACAAATATGGACGCTATTTGGAGACCCAATTCAGTACAAACTTGCAAATCATCTCCTTGCTTCTTGGAACAGGAGACAAAATCCTCTCAAACTTCAAGAGCCCATTGTCAACAAAACCTGGACTTTTCATGGGTGGCATCTTTACCCGTTGGGTCTTTAATTTTTCTATCTGTTTCTTTTTACAGAGCAGAATTGTACAACAGGTAATACTTTGAATTCCTAAAGTAATATACATGTTTATAGGTCACAGAGCATAAATCTAAAATAGAATTTGAAGGGGATAGGATGAGATTCTAATACAAAACATTGCTGTTGACCATCATCCGGAAAATCTCCTTCTCCCCTACTATTTATATATACTAATAGATACTTTCTGGTGCCATTAACTTGGGGTCTCTAACAGTGTGGAAAGTACATGTAGCTAATCTGGTTTTATTAAATTCGTGTGGTTTAAATCCTCTTAGCTTTTCTACATCTGTTAGAATGTTCGACACCTCGCTAGAGGAACAAATAACTTCAGCCGTAATCTTGTTTGTAACTTCATTCAGTGTTTGTTTACTGAAACAAAAGGTTATTTTTAAAATATGCATGTTACATTTAATTAGGAAAATGTTTGCACTTTCTATATAGGAGATTATGGATTATTTTGAATATTTTAATTTGAACTCTGTTCTGAAAACATGTTGCAAAGAATGACCAGATTTACTTGATGAGGTAGGAGGACTATTCAAAATAATTTGGGTACCTCCTCATTGTGAATTCTATTTATGGTAGAAATATTCCTTATTAATCAAGAACTGACATAGGTTCTTATTTTATAACAGAAGAAATGCTTTTTTTTCCTTTTACTCCTCAAATCCTAAAATGTGGTTTCATTCTGCTCTTCAGACTACTTTAACCAAAGTTGTTGCCTATGAATGCCATTGATACAACTCAGCAGGCTTCCATTCATATTTCTTGGTCACAATCTCTGCATTTTTGCTTAAATGCAGTATGAACGGGACTTGGCATTTTTGCTAAAATATGTGATGAGCAGTATTTATTATATTTTCCTTATCTACCCACCTCACTGCCCCACATTATATAAACATACAGGTCTCCAAGTCCAATCCAGTTTTGCAAATAGGACCATAAGGATATGGAATTTGTTAAGGTATTAATTTATTATTTATCTGCCAATTCAAAAGTCGAAGGAAAAGAAGACTATCTCCTCCTCCTCTTCCTCCTTTTTTCTTTTGTTTCTTCCCCTCTTTCAGCAACCTGTTACTTTCCAGAAAACCCTTTCCTTTCAAGAAAGTCAATGCTAGTCGATCAGGGTGAACTTTCCTTGACCTCTCTTGTATACGATTCCGATCTTTGAAAGTTGGATTAAGAGGACGTTCGTTTAAGTTACCTGTAGCTTCTCGCACCCTGCCTTCCCATTCTTTTCCTTTCCCACCCCCTTTCCTTCTTCCCAAAATCAACATGTACTCTAGCTTCTTCATTCACTTAGAAGCCTCTATTATACTCCCCAAACACCTCCAGGAATTAAAATGGCACTTGTGGAGTGGGTTCCCCCCATCTCGGCTTTATTTCTTTATCTCCCCTGTTTATTCTGTAAAGTTCCCACTGAATGGAAGAAGCGATTCAATAAACAGCCCTCTAGCGCTATCTGGCGGGACTCCAACACTTTCAGGCTCTGCCGTTTCCACAGGGCCCCTAAAGATTACTTTGCTCCCGCTTCTTTGTATAGTTAAATGGCACCTGGCCACACAACCGAGAGTCGTTCTCGAAGGTGATGCTCTGGTGGGTTCCAAATCAAGAGTTCACTAACTGCAGAAAGCCAGAAGAGCAAGAACACGTTTCTTCTGGCTTCTTTTCTCTCTCCTTCTCCCCCCCCCCCCCCCCCCCCCCCGCACTCCCCCGCCGTTATGTAGCTCTTTGTGGTTTTCTTTCTAACAATCCTAAAGTCGCCTTGGGACTGCTTCGACGCACGAAACTCAGCGGGGGAAACTCCGATCCTAACCCTCCGGTCCTAAGCGCGCCTGCCTCCTGGAGGCCCTGCGAAACCCTGTAACGTTTCCAGCCTGCATCCGCAGCCCTCGCGCCCTGCTCTGGCGCAGCCCTCTGCTTAGGCGCAATCTCATCCTACGGCTGATTGCAGGCGAGTAAGAGCGCAGCCCTTTGTCTGGTGTGTTCTGAGAAAGGACAACGGAGGGGCGAGACTTCTGTTCGAGCATCCTCTGACCTCTGGGTTTATGCGGAGGGCAGGAGAGAAAAGACTGACTTATCCAAGGCAGGAGGTATCTCGCACTAGGCTAGGCGGTACTTGGACTTGGTTTAAACCTCGCCCCCCCCCCCGTTTTTTTGCTAGAAGAATTAAACTGGGCCTTGAAAAATAAAGAGAATGGAAAATGGGTACGTTTTAGGCAAATTCCAGACTTCCCCGAACCTAACGGCATCGTACTTCTTTGCAGCAGTTCTGCCCAACAGCCTAATGAAACCGAAATCCTGGAATTTCGGAGCCTGTCGTCCCACGGACCTTACTGGGTCCAGCGCAGCTTCCACCGGGTTGTGGATCGCGCTGGTCACAAGTGTAAACGTCCCCTCTGTCCCAAAGCCTGCGCACTCCTCCTGGATTTCCTGTGCGCGCCTCCATCGCATCCCATCCCATGCCATCCCTGCCCGCTTCCAAGAACGGTGGCGTGCCCTGACGAGGAAGCTCCATGTCTGGCGCTGCTTGCCTGGAATCTCAACTTTTGGGAAGAGAAGCACGCATGGTCCCGGGCGCACCAGCGAGAGCTGTCAAGACGCATCGCGCTACCTCTAGAGGGGAAAACTGTTTTTTGTGCCCGGCGCATCTCAGCGTTGCTGGAGTTCCTTTCTCCAGCAATCGGTCGCTTGGTTGCACCCTTCTTTTTGCATCCATCCATCCCCCTCCGGCTCACAAAGAGCATGCAATATTTTTCTTCTCACTTCCGAAGGGCCTGACGAAGAGGCACGGTAGGGCCGGCTGGGGCTTTCCTCTGCTTAGGTCTGCTGTAATTAATTGAAAACAGTTATTAGGTCGTCATTGGCAATAGCGTAAATAATTACGGTAGATTTTTACTTAAAATTGACCGGTCACGGGCGGGGGGGGGGAATCGATTGGAAGTATAAAAATGATGTATCAAAACATCAATGTCGATTATTTGAAATATTGTAGTCGAATCTTTTTATTGCTTCATCGGTTTAAGCGTCTGAAAGTGCAGTGTTCCAACATATATTTATGTTGTCAATACTGTCAAAACTGTCAGGTTTATTACAGTGGATTTGTAATACATTTCGGAGTTGCTCATTTACATACCCCCCCTCCGGTTTTCCTCCCCCCAACCAACTCCCACACGCCTTTCCCCATATCTGGGAGAGGGAGAGAGGAGTGGGGAGACATACACAGAGAAAACCTGTCAGTTTAATCAAAGGATTCAGGCTCCTTTACTGAAGCAGAGATAAGAATCCGGCACAATTGCATCGAGCCCCCTTCCTGGCTGGTCTTCTCGCCTAACTTGGAAAAGGGGTCCGCCGTGTCGCCCTCGCTCCCGACCTGATTAAAGTCTGGCCCGATTCACAAACTCTCTCTGCTGGAGTATTTTCCTCTGAACTGCTTCTTGCGTTTAAGCCGATTTCGACCCGCCGAGGCTGGCAAGGTCTTAAGTTGTTGTTATTATAATAAGTGACTTGGGCTTGAGCGAGGCCCCGAAACGAGTTCTGTGTGAAGCGCTGTGTTTTTCACCGACTTTCTGCATAAATACCCGAGCCGATATTTGAAACGATCAGGCTCTTTCCGCGAAGAAATTAATTGGGGGAATAGAAGGGGGACGGGTCAGCCCGAAGCAAGCACACCTGTGTGAAATCTGAGCGCCAAGAGGGAGGGGAGCTCCGGTCCCAGGAGCCGCAGGGGAGCGAAGCGGGCGGACGCGCGCCCCGGCTAGTGCACGGCGCGCTCCCGAGCAGGTCCGTCCCGGCTCGCCCGGCACCCCGGCCACGCTCACTCGGAAGTGGGTCCCCCGAAATTAGCGGGTTCACTCCCAGGTAAACGTGCCTGGGATCTGGCCCCGCACAGGCAGGTGGGGACCGTCCTCATGGAGGCTTCGCTTTCTCGGGCCGCGGCGCCTCAAAGTTGTGTCTCTGTTTCAGTCTCTTGGTTAACTTGTTTCTGATTTTCTTGCAGAGCCGGGTAAAAATAAAACCACGCTTCCTGGTGCGAAAACGTGTAAGGATCGGAAGCCCCAACTCCCGCCCCGTAAAACGTACGAATCCCAAGGCGCTTTATTTAAATCGGAGGGGTTTCCTCGTAGCCTGCAGGCATCTTCCGCGAGCGCGGGCTGGAGTTTGGCACCGGCGGCGGCGGCAGGCAGGAGCGGGAGGCCTCCGCCCTGCCGCCTTGACCGCGCTCGGGCTACCGCGGGCGACACGCCGCCGAGGGCCGGACGCGCCCCCGCCCCGCCACATGCGGCGCGCCTCGCACGGGAGGAAGAGGCCGCCCCCGCCCCCGCCCCCGCCCCCGCCCCGCGCGTGAAGTAGGGACGGCGGCGTCGCGGGGGCCCGTGGCCCCGGCGGGGGCTTCGTCGACTCCGGCGGCGACCCCGCGCGCGGAGCAGGGTTCCGCGCAGGACCCGGGCGAGCGCTGCCTCCGCGCGGAGGGCCGGCGGGAGAGGCGGTCGCCGCCGCCGCCCCGGCCGGCCGGCGGCTCCTCGCGTTCCCGGCCCCCTCCGCCCGCGCGTCGCTGGCGGCGAAGAAGAGACGAGCCAAGACCCGCTTTTCACTTCCTGAGAAGCGGCCCGGGACGCATCCTGCCAAGCGCGGCAGCTACAGAATCCCTCCCCGCGCTCTTTGAAAAGCCTCTTCACATGTCGGGGGGCGGATGGACGCACGCGGCCACACACCCACACACTCGTCTTACGAAATAATACTATTATTATTAGTAGTAGTAGTAGTAGTAGTTAAGCAAAAGATATAGAAATACAGATAAGGGTGATTATGAGCATCCGGCTAGAATGTTTTGGTCGTCCAAATTTTACTTCGGGTGGCAACACCCGACCGAAAGTTTTACCCGTCCTGAAAGCCCCTTGTAAAGCATTTAACAACAATTACGCGTTAATCTGCTGGAATGCTGGCCACAAATGATGCTATTAAACATCAAAGGCATGCCTGAGACGTTACCTTTTAGCCATAAGAGGATTAATTTCTCTAATTAAAGGGGATACATATGTGCATAAATAAATATATCTCTTTCCATCCTTTCTTCTTAATCTTACGGATTCTTATCGTCGGCGTGGGTGGGAGAGAGGCGGCCGCTCTTAACTTTGCCTGCACCTTCCAGTCTCACAGGGCCGAGCCGGGGGAAGGGGGTTGCCTAGAAGACCCCCGAAAAAGTTAATCCAGAGAGTCACTTTATTTAATCTCTAAAGGACGCTGCTCAATTGACGCAAATATGGGCTTGGGGGTGTCCTTTGGAAGAGGACAGGTCTGTTCGCTTTGGATGCACTGGGGGATCGGATTTAGTGTCCCCCGCATCCCTTCCGAAGCTCACGGCTGAGTTTATTGCCGCCCCAATAAAACCCGCGTGACCTTGATTTTAACCTGTATGAATACCTCATTTGCCTAATGACTTTGTGTCACGTAGCCAGGAGGTCAGTTTCCTTTTTAACCTTTTCCACTGCTGCAGTAAGCATTCTTGTGATCATCAATGACTCTTTGAATAATCAATACCTATTTTATGATCCCTGACAAACTCAATAGATTTGCACCTTGTTTCAGGGAAGCAGCCTCGCTCAGCAACAGCTGGAAGGAGTGGCTGGGCCATCTTGGCGCGGACTCTTCCGCCAGATTCGCTTGTGGACTAGAGCCTTAATTCGGCAGGAAATCTTCTGTCGAAAATATTGGCTAAGACGAATAGGACACGAACGGATTCCGATTCTGTTGGCCAGAAGGAAACGAAAATGGGGGGAATGGCGCGCGCGGTTATTGCGGGTGTGGGGAGAGAGGGGGGCAATCCGCACACTCTTGAGCTGCTTTCTCGCTCGCATTAAGAAAAGACCCTTCTTGTCTCCAACGCCACGGTGACCCCGACTGAAGCGGGAGAGTGCCCCAGACCAGACCTGCCTGTATCCTATGCAGGTTTGCGATTCGATGGGGATTTCTCAATTGCCAGGCGCCCGGTTGCTGCTTTCCTTTCTTTCTAGGAACCGGCACAACGAAGTTGGCAGCTCCGTGGGGCAAGAGTTCCTCTCTCCCTTCTTTATTTGCTCAGTGATTAAGACAGGACAAAGTCCCCACCCCTTCCCCTCCCGCCAGGCAAAGGTGCTTTACTGCGTCGTCCCTCCACCTTCCTAATGACTTCTGATGGCAGGATTGTGTCCTCAGGTAAACACGCGGGACAGGCGTGGAGGTGGGAAAAGCCTTGAACTCACCTTTCCCTTTCATTCAAAGCGAGGTGCAAGTTCTTTGCTACCACTGAGTTTTTACCTGGCCTTTTGAAATTGCCTGCAGTAAACGAGGAACGGAGAATTAGAGGGAACTGAAAGGAGGGGAAGCCGTGGGGGGGGGGGAGACGCTCCCCCCACCACATTTACTATTGCAAACAAAACAAGCCAACAGCTCTGACGACTGTCTGGGAGCTCTCACGTTTGCTGCTATCTGCTGGTGTTAGTCAGAACTGAGAATTGTTGCAACCCTGTTACTTCTGTGGGATAATTAATACAGATTCAGGACGTCTCCTTCTTCTTCTTTTTTACTACCTATAATAAACATATGTTTCATTTTCCACTGCAGTTAAGTTATTCACTGCTTTTCCCCTGCAATGTGAGCCTTCCATAAAGTTTCAACCTGATATTTGCCTTGGCACAGTTTTCTCAGAGAAGAGAGGTGCCGAGATGCCAACTTGGGGGGCTACTTGAGAGGGATTGCAGCTTCCGAGGGACTTAGCAAAATGTTCCTAGATTCTTTGATTAAAAAATGGATCGAGATGCACGCTCTTTCTAAGGGCTGGAATGCTGCTATGGTGCCACATTCTAATTCCTAGGAAATTGAAAGTGTGTGCATATGTTCCATCCAAAACACATTTTCTTGTAGGTAGATTATTTCATTGATTTCCATGAGATTTGCTGCATTGCTTAACACACCCATCCTGAGAACATGACAGAACAGGGAAAGTCCTGAGTAATTCCTACCATGTCATGTGTGTGTGATCATGCTGCCATCTCTTCATCTGCAGCTGCGCTTGCATCCCATTGACTTTAGGGAGATTTAGGGAGTCAGATGGAACTCAGGACTGCAGCCTTATGTGTTCTTGCTATCTTCAGGGCTACTGCAAGAGAAATGAGATGGATCCCTCCTGAGAAACCCCAGAAGAAGCCTCACCGGATGTGTACAAAGACCTAACTCACATTGCAAATGGGGCTTTTTCATGTTCTGTAGACCACTGTTTGCTTGGCTAATTCTTATTCAACAAGTGACCTCAGAAAATATGATAAATAATCTAGGTCTTCTTTTCACTCAGCTTTGGTTTCTAGGTAGACTCCTCCACCTGAATGGCAAGGAGATATCTGGAAAAGATACAGACCTTTAGATGTTGAGCTAAATGGGAAGGAAATACTATGTCTATACTGTTAATGTTGTTTGGAAATGTAAAAAACCTGGCCAACCTGGCCATCCATAAACATCTGCTAAACAATGTGTGGATGATGATGGCGATTTAGATTAAACATTTATAATAAAACATTTCCATGTTCAGTGTGCTTTATTCCATTCAGAAGCCCTGGCAAGTTGATCATTACAACTCTTGTTTTACAGAATGGGCCATTTAAGCCTGGGCAACAGTGACTTGTCCAAAGGTCAAGCAATAGCAGAGGTGAGGCTCTGATTCCCAAGTCCAATCCTGTATTTGTCCATTAGTTCACACAGAAGAACTCCACTTATGTCAGATTTTGAAGTCTTGGGTCCCCTGCAAAAAAGGAGGAGAAGCAGGGTACAAATGTAACACTATTTTCTTCTTAAAAATATGAACACCTGATATGCCCCTTTAGTGCATTCACAGACATTTCTCAGCATGCAGTCCTTGATACAGTTACCTGAGAATATCTTCCATTGAACACAGTCCTGAGTATCCCTGAATAGGACAGTATTGCTAGTCTACTTTTAGCCCAAAGTAGCATTTTAGAAAGAAGACTTCTATCTGCAGCAAATCCTTTCTGGAAGTACGGTGGGGGAAATGGGCTGGCAGGCAGGTTGCATACAAACATTCGATCTACTGTTACACGTTTAGAGCCTAAAGTGGTGCAAATCTTTGTCCCTCGTTTTTGCTGAGGCTTGTTGCCACTTATGTAATGGGGCAGTTGTGAGACCCAGCAAGAGGGTGTGAGTGGTGGACTCTTACACTGAATTACGTAGCAAAATGTCCTTTGACCAGGAGCAGAACTGCAGCCAAAGACTCCAGCATGCTACAGATGGATGCTATATAAGTGATGGGCTCCATTACAATAAGCTCAGTCATCCTTATGTATGAAATAATAGCAATGCATCCAACAGCAATCAACAGGTAAAAACTTCTCTCAGGTCAATTCATACACAATAATTAGCTTGCTAATATTATTGTTGGTCCAGCATAAGTGAGTGGAGCAGAGAAGTACACATGGGCACTGAGAAGACGCAACTTCACAAGCATTTGTCCTATACTCTCTCCTTGAGGCTACATTACATTTAGAAGATGACGTATTTCGGCATGTGTCATACTGGATCTTTCAGTGGTTGAGGATACGTAGCTCTAACCTGTGCCTTCCAGCAGCTGAGTTGTGTAGTTTAGCAGCCTGATTTAAACTGCTTAGCTGCACATAGGGAACAGTCGATAATTTTTTTTTCTTTTTTGAATTTTTTTTTTCAAAGCCTCAAAGAGGTACTTTTTTGAAAGCCTCAAAACCAAGTTCCCAGTACAGACTTTTGGATTTGCTCATTCAGTGAAAGTTAAAGATCCTTTTAGCCACACTGATTCCAAATAAAGATGTAGGTGCATACCTAAATGGGAATTTAAATACTTACCATTGCCTTTGGTTCATCTGTGCTGTTTTACTTTTCTTCTTGGTACACTGAATATATTGTTTCATCTTTCTGAAAGTTGCCTTTTATTTCACAAATATCAAGGATAAGTTAAGCACTTTGGGATGCAATCCTATGTGTGTTTAGAGAGGAAAAATGCCCTAAAACTCTGTATGTCCCAGCCAGCCATGCTGGGAATTACAGGTTATTTTAGTAGCTGATGCTCATGCCTAAACACGCCCAGAATTTCACCTTTGGTTTCCCAGTAATATGCTTAACTCCTTGAAATCAATTAGAATTGTCTTTAGTAAGTATTATAGCATCTGGTCACCAAATATTGTGCATCCTAACCATGCTCAGTCACAGACTTCTAAAAGACAAAGTACTGTATATTTTGCTTTTATTCATAGAGAATGTGGAGACAAGGAAGACAAAGCAGAAAGAACAAAGGCATTGTTAGGGTCAACTTGTTAATTTTGGAAAGGCAACTAAATTTCCCACCTCTAGAAACATATTTCCTGATCCTCATGACATGGGATATGACATTTATCTATGTTCTCAGTTTAGCTTTAGTGTTATAAGCAGTGTATCCTAAGCAAGGAAAAACACATATTTTTGACAGACTTAAACTCCTAAGCAATACTTACGCATTCACAATATAATCAAACTATTTTAAAACTCTGACTTCGAAAGGGTGTAGACTGGAAAAAAGTCTCTATGGGCCTCCAGATTTTTTAGACTACAGCTTTGATCATCGTTGACCATTGGTCATGAAGAGAGTTGGAATCCAACAATGTCTGGAAAGTAGGGTACACACCACAAGAAGATTTGGTTTGTATCCCAGGTTGGTGATTTGGAAAACAGGCCAATTTGGCTTAGATTGATTTGGAAGTTGCCAGTGCAACTTGGATCCAAATATAAATTTCAGTTCAGAAATCCATATCTTCATGTATCCCATTAACTATCATTGGAAATCAGCACATGTCTATAAATTTTCTTTTTGTCAGAATTGGTTGATATTTTCAGACACTGTTCCTTATTAAAGGATTATGATTGTCAGATCTCAGAAAAATAGGTGCAGGGGTTAATTCATCTCCAACTTGGCAAGTTTGATTCCCCCAAAGTTTCCTTGCAAGTTTCATTCAAAACTGCCTTTAGTTTTTAAAATCACAAGATGCGTAACAGAAAACCTCTTGCATCCATTTATCTGAGATCTGACAGCTATAATTCCCTATATAAGGAATTACTATGACTGAAAATTGCAACCAGTTCTGACAAAAGAAAAAAATGTGGACATGGGGCTCAGACACACCTTTGGCTTATGTGCCAGCAAATTAATGTCTACGTAGGGCTACTATGTTTGTTACTATATCTGCCCCAGGTCTGAATTTTCAGGAGTGGTCAGATTCAAATTCAGTTTGCTTTGGAGGTGTTCCAGTTCAATCAATTTCCTGAATTGGTCAAATTAGCCCAATTCAGTTTGGGTTTTGGCAGGATCCAAAACATACTCTTACTGGATGCTTGGAGTTTCTCTGTCCCTTGATTTGGACTCTTGTGCACATCAAAGAGTCAAAAAGGCAAGCTCACCTCCCTAGCAATGGCAACCCCAGTAACGGCTAGTAGATGTTCAAACCAAATGCTTACTCTGAATATGAATACCTACCCAGAACATATTGGGTTGGTTTCAGGCTTGGTCTACTTAGAGTAGGCTCACTGGAATCAACCATAACAGAGCCAACTAATTGCTGCTGTTATTTCTCTTGCAAATGTATAATTATATTAATTATAATTATAAAAGTATGTTTAAATAGTTAATTATTTATGATGATGAGATTTTGATTGTAATAAAGATACAGAAGGCAGATGAAAGAAGAGAATGGTTACTGAAAAATTTTAAACTGGCTCACTTGGGACAACCACAAAAGAACACAAAGCAGTATCTACACCCTTTGCAGAATGAGGTTATTCAGTCCAGAGTGGATGATGAGACTGCACCATTTTGGAGCACAATAATAACTCTTTGTGTGTATGGGCACATTTAGTTGTTCAGTCCCTGTGCCATTACATTCATGTGAAGGAGTGAGCAGGGCCATACCTCCTGGCCTTGCCCCTTCTGTCACATCTCCATTGGCACTTCTTCAACACACGGCATACATCAAGGGTGCAGTCCCCATTCATGCTCACAACAGCTAAGTTCTTCACCATCGGCGGCTGCACCAGCAATGCCTCTTCCCCTGCACCCTGCCACCCACCTCCGCCCAGGTCAGGCAGGAAAGGGTTCTGTGTGCATGGAGCTTCTCCATGCAAATGGAGACCTGGCTCAATCAGGATCTCCCTATGCACAAAGGAGCTCTGCCTGTGCACAGCCGTGCATCCACAGAGCCCTTTCTTATGCTGGCTGAACATGCAGAGGGCAGGCAAGCATCCTACTGCAGGGCACGCCATACGACCCTCTAATGCAGAGGATATAATGTGGGAGCCTCCTGTACCCTTTCAGGGTCCCCACATGATCCAGGACAAGGCAGGGGTCTGAGCTGCATGAGCAGTCGACATACATACTGGGTCTGCCTTGCTTTAGGGCTTCCCTCAGACACAGAGGATCACAGGGACAGGGGAGGGGAATGGGGCAGAGTGGTGGTGGGGACAACCTGGACAGCCTCACTCCCTGTAATGTGAACAGGGCTTCACATGTTTAAGCACAGGACAATACCATCCTACTTTGATAGGATGACTTCTTTTTTTCTTTCCCTTCCTACCTTTTCCCCCCTCCTTCAAGATGTTAAAAAGCATAACATCTCCAAAGTTCAGAGGTAAAGGGAAATTAGAGCACGTCTGTCTCCCCGGATTGTTTGCAACAATAGGTGGAAAAATCATCCTTACTTCAGATTACCTGTATCATCCATTTATATGATTGACCTTTAATCTACTCAGGCTGAACTGGAAAGAATGCTAATTAAGGCAGCAATCCTAAGCACGCTTAAGTGGAAGTAAATTTGGTTGAAATTCACAGGACAAAGTGCTTTGGAGTAACAGTGTTTAAAATCAGAACGATGGCTTGCTAGGCCTGCATGGTCACCTGAGTTCTATGCATGTGTCAGTTGGGAAACTAACAAATGCAGCCAAGAGGACTTCTGGTTATGATGTGTATTTTTTGTTTAATTTGCAAAGAGACAAATGCAGAGATTTAGCACAAGTAAGCATGAATGCAAAAGAGGCAAGTGCAAATTAGAATTGAATATTTATGAGTCACAAATCATTGACAGCCTGGAATAATTCAAAACAGCTTTATGAATGAGGTTAAGGCAAGATAATATCAAAGAAACACATCATGAAATCAATAGCAATTTGATTGGGCGTATACTTGTAAATTGTGGTTACATTTTCTGTGATGCAAAAGAAAAATATTGTATATGTGGTAAATAGAGAATCATCAATAATGTTATATTTTTCTTTCAAGTTCAGACTGTGATTAGAAACCTGTCATCTGATCACATAGTGCTTTAAAAAAATCATTTATAGGCATTGCCCCAGCCACGGCTTCAAATCCCTGCACTTGGCAACAGAAAGCCTGCCGTTGTTCATAGCTGGGCAAGTGCAGCTAGTAATTATGGTGATTATAATATTATTAATAATAATGTGCACATATTTTGAACTAAAAAACCCCCCAACTTCTGGCAGCCATGAACAGC